TAAATAGTTTATGTGTACTATGAAAAATTTTTGTGGATTATATAGTAACTTTCGTATATCATCCAGGAAAAATACTTTCGATTTCTGTTGAGTGTAAAAGCGTTTAGTTCTGAAAGTTTTATTGGTGTTGAATTTCTATAAGATCTACAAGAAAAAAAACTCAGAAAAAAGTAACTACTCTTCTGTTACTAGTATTACTTCAATTAAACAAGAATCAATGAAAAAAATTTACTTTGAACACTGGCTAAAGTTCAACCTTTTTTCTCTTCAATATTTTTAAAGATATTATAGAATTTCTACTCAATCTAAAAAAAACAAAAATTCTTGATTAAAATCTCTTGTAAGTGCGCTCGCATTTAAATACAGAGCAACATCTGTGTTACAAGTACTGGTTGATTACTTTGTTTTTCCGATTTCTTCTGTAGCAAGAATAGTAGCTCAAGCAGACAGCACAACTATGCAATCCATGGCATTTATTTATGCATATATCGTCGTTAAAGAGTTAACTGTTGATAAGATGCTGACGTAAAATACAAAGATCTGCGAATTGTGTAATGCAATCCTAGGTTTTCATGGTATATATCTCACGATTCAGGAAAAATGGATGATTTTTTTTATATTCAGTTTTTCTTCATAAAGTCTAAACGACTTTTCCAGTTTTTTTATCAAAAGATGCGCGGTAAATTTCTCTACGAAAATATATAAGGATATTTAATCTCAAACTCAAGCATAAAAAATAGCAACAAATGATATTGCGAAGCTCCAACATGTGCAACTTTCTAAAGGAAAAAATCTGAAAAATTCAGGCTGACTTCTATAATTGTACGACTAAAATGAATACCAAGACAAGTTTTTCGTAGAAATAAACGTGCTCTTTCTCATGATATAGAGTGAAGTCTGTTTCAGCTAAGAATTATGATTCAGCAACTAATTCCACGATACTAGATCGACAATTGTCAATATTTAGCTTATTTTGCTAATAATTTCATTCAAAAAAACGAAATTACTCATGTTTTGCGGTTCCCTGGACCATCCTCTATTAAGTAGTCTTTCTATTTTGCTGATCATTCGTTGTTTTTCTCATGAAACTTATTTGAAAATTGATTTATCCATACTTTATTTTTTTATGCAATATCTTTCTCAAAGTTTTGCAAAACTTGAAGGTTCAAGAAATATGGATTGTACACGAAACCAATATCAGACTACATACCACGAAGGTAAAGCATTGCTCATAATGAAAAAGATACAGGCCACGGTCAGAGCACTGCCACTGGCAATTGCTAATACTCGTTTATCTACAGCCATTTGTTTTGCTTTTAGAAGTAATATGCTCTCTAATTTATATATATATACATATGAGTAATATATCTTGCTGATGAAAGCATATTTACCTTTCTATTCTAACCGTCGACAAAATAGTCACTGCTGTTACTAATAAACAATTTCAAACATTTTCTATGCTCCTATCAAGCCAGAAAAGAAAAAAATTGAAGTCCTACCTACGAGATCAAAGAATGACGACATCATGGAAACATATAGACATGTTTATTACTTGTTATATTAGTATTATTTTTCCTTGAATATTTGTTCAATATCGAGCTATGAATGACATACGATAAGAAGAAGCACGAATTGACAACATCACAAAGACCGTATATCATAGTTACTGATGAGTAATCAATTCAAGGCCGTGTTGTCGTATTCTAAAACAAAATTTCTAACAAAAAAAATATTTCTTTTCCTATCTCATTCGTCAGGGAACCATTCAGTAAATATTTCATCACGCAATGGTCCTCCGTCTTCTGTAGGCTTCATTGAATCAATAGAGCGCAGAACTATTCAATGCGTTTTGTTGTCGTCCTCTTTTGATTGTATTGCAGTACATTTTAGCCAGTGTAGGTGTGGGTGTGGGTGTGAGTGTGGCTTGTGTGCGTGGGGATGGGTGTGGGTGTGGCGTGTGGGTGTGGGTGTGGGTGTGGGTGTGGGTGTGGGTGTGGATATCTTTTCATCACACACACAGCAGCATCCACACCCCCACCCCCACCCCCACCCCCACACCCACACTCCACACCCACACCCACACACCCACACCCACACCCCACCCCACACCCACACCCTTAATTCATCAGCTAAAATTTTATTTTTACGACAATTTTCACTGCGTTCTTGAGCATCTTTTTCTAGTGCACTCATAAATACCTCTAAATAAAAACTAATATAAGTGTTTTTTTTTAGACTTTTTAGTTTCTTTGATTTATCTAGTGACATTTCATGTTGTTGTTGTGTGGGAGCCGAAGATGATTTATTTATAACAGTACGATCAAAAACTGTTTTTGTATATTTCCTTTAAGTAATAAATGAGATTCTTTCATTACTTTTGATATTTCATTGGCATCATTTGAAGATAAATTTTTTACAATACGATCTATAAAATATTTTTAAAATAATTATTTAAAAATAATTTAATTGAAATATCTTACGTATATCATCGATTTTTATGATAGAAATTTATCAAGATCTTCTTTTGAATCGTCGAGTCATGTATTGTTGAAATCGATGATTTTTACTACGAAATGAATTTTATTATTCCATAATCAAATCGTTTCCACGAGTAATTAAAAAAAAAACAACATATAGAAAATTTTGTGGGATGTGGGTGTGAGTGTGGGTGAGTCTTCTATCCTCTTACACCCACACTATAAAAAGTGATTATCTTTTCAAGCTTATAAAATAATGCAACGCCATTGCAGAAAAATACGCTGTCACAATTGATAAATAGACTTGTTCGTTAAGTATTACATTGTTAAAAGCATTTATTATTACAAGACTACATTGAATAAACGCAAATTTCAAAAATTTTTTTTGTCAGATATGGTTGTGCGCAAGATTGCATGATAAATGTCGTGATCATAATTAGTCATGTAACTGTAATTATTTTGCTTTTTATACAAATTCCTTTCAGCTTGTCTTGTACAAGGATAACGTGTAGTTGTTATAATATAAATTTAGATGTGTGATATAATAGAATAGAAACAATAACAATGTTGCATGTTTTATTACTTCGATAATAATTGTACTTAGATTTGTATGATAATATCGATTGAGAAATCCGTATTTTCCCTGATAATGCTAATCCTATTTTTTAAGCGAATCACGTTATATATATATATATATATATCTTTTCTGCTTTTCTTTTTTACAATTATTCTCTTTGTAAAAGAAAAATGGCAATAGCAAACGCATTGTTTGATACTGAAGACGATGAAGATACAAATAATTTACGCTATGTTGATATTCCTTATGCTGCAAATGATATTAAACAATTTCTGTCTATTATTATGAATTCACCATTATTACCAATAGAAGAAGCTATTAAACCGTTAGTTCATTTAATTGATGATATTGCAACAAAAGTCTATATTATTAAACAAAAATTGACTACCGATGATACTGATGATCTAACACTAGATGAATTAGCAGCAATTCATCTATACATTTGGGAAGGATCACAACCTACAAAATGCATTTATTATCTTCTTAATGAAATAATTCGTCATGAATTTCCAGAAGAATTTCAATTATGGCATCCATATTTAAACTTATTATTAACAGCTCTTGGTAAATTACCATCAATAGGACATCATTGTATAGTCTATCGTGGTGTACGCTTATGTGATTTATCCAATGAGTATAAAGATGATGGCATATATACATGGTGGACTTTTGGCTCATGTTTACGCTCGCTTGATCAAATGAAATCACCCAGATTTTTAGGTAAACAAGGTGTACGTACTGTATTTAAAATTGATTGTTATAGTGGAAAACGACTTCCATTATCGGAAGATGACGAAATCATATTGACGCCAGGATTTCATTTTCAAGTTGTTGGAAAACTACGTTCACTAGACGATTTAAACACAATTTATATTCGAGAAATATCATCATCCTCAACTGAAATCATATTACCTGTGCCAGTTGTTACAACAATAGAAGAACCTGAAGAACCATTATCATTAATAGTTAAAACAATACCACAAGGAAAATCATCAATGAAATCACGAAAAAGTCTCAAGAATACTACATATCGAATAATAAAAATGTCAAAAGTATTACATGTATGTTCGGATCATATTCTTGAATTATCTGGTAAAAGATTGCGTATTGATGATTTAAAACATATTCTAAATGAACGATTAACACAAAAAATAACAATTCTAAATTTGTCTAAAACAAATTTAACAAAAGCAAAAGTAAAAGTCATTGCTGAAATATTACGAACAAATTTAACTCTTATTGAACTTAATTTAAGTTATAATCCATTGGATAATGCTGGTTGTTTGCTAATCGCTCAAGCATTACATGGCAATAAACATTTGATAACATTGAATTTGTACAATACAAAACTATCTTGTAATGCTGGTCAATATCTAGCTGAAATGTTGTTATTGAATCATCATCTACGTTCTCTACAGTTGGGTGTTAATTCACTTGGTAATTTGGGAGTAAAATATTTGCTATATGATAATATACAATTACATCATTTAGATTTACATTGTAATAAAATTGATCAAGACGGTTGTCAATACATAGCTAACTTGTTAGAAAAAAATCAAACACTGGCACAGCTAGATGTGGGTGGTAATCCAATTAAAGATAACGGAATTAACATACTTTGTAACGGTTTAATGAGGAACCAGACATTAATCGATTTACATATATGGCATTGTCAAATCAGTAATCTCGAAACAATATGT